CTCCCTCTCTCTCTCTCTCTCTCTCTCTCTCTCTCTCTCTCTGCCTCCCTTCCTTTTTTTCTTTTGTCTTTTTGGGACAGGGTCTCACTATGCAGTTCAGGCTGGCCCTGAACTCACTTTGTAGCCCCGGCTGACCTCAAACTCACGGTGACCCTCCTGTCTCAGCCTCCTAGTGCTGGGATTATAGGCGTGCACTCCATGCCCAGCATTCTTTTCTATATCTTACTCCCCTGGAAGGCACCGCACTTCTGCACACACGTGTTTCCACGCACGTGTGTGGACGTCTTTACACACACTGCGGATACATCCCGTTTCCACTTCAGTGTCAGGACCCCCGTCCCTGCCATTGTTGCACACTGGTTGGCGTGAATGTGTTGGGCAGTCCCCACTCCCGGGCTTGGAGGTGGTTCCTCACAGTGCCGCATTCTGTCTGCTCTGTAGTGAAGATTGCTAGGATGAATTCTTCGTTTTCAATTTGAATTTCTTTACTCGGTCCGTGTTCGCAGTCCATAATGATCACATGCCAATCGGGGAGTTGGCGCGTGCGCAACACATCTTGATTCTTTATTTGCCCTCGCCCCTCACCCCACCCCTCGGTCCCCGTCCCTTGTGCGGAAGATCTCTCTCCCTGTTTCTTACAGTCTGTCTTTTATTTTACTTTATTTACATATTTCGGGTTTCGCACAGGAGAGAACATGTGCTACCTGAGCTTGTGAGTCTCATCTCATCACGGTCTGGCGGCGGCGGGCTGATCTCTCTGGGCTGTCCAGGGGGTGTGACTTACATTCCGGGTCCCCACCCAGGAACCTTGAGGAGGTGATCCCGTCCCCACTTCATCCCGATCCAACTTACAAGGAGGTCGTGATTTCTGTTATGTGTGGATTTTACTACACATAATGAATTGTCTAGAGTAAGGTTGACCTCCTCACGACCGTGCTCCCAGATAATGAGAATAAATTCAGTCTGAAGTCTGTAGTCCATTTGCAGCACCCACAGCGGGTTCCTCATGTGTGTGCACACACATGCATGCATACACACGCACACGTGCACACACGTGCACACATGCTTGGAGGCATGTGTGGCTCGTGGAATTTATCTTCCAGCCTTGTAGATGTGTTGGAGGACTGCTAGCCACTGATCCACTACTTGTCCACCATTATGTGTGCCCTGAGTGGCGCAGAGATAGAGAAGCCATTTATGACCCTGTGGAACTCAAGAGCTGAGTGCAGGTGCAGGAGCCGGCCTGCAACCCTGGGCTGGAAGCGGGTGGGTGGACTAGGGGGCCACCTGAAGGCCGCTTGGGTGGAGGGGCAGGTGTCCCCAGGGGCTAGGTCTGAGCTGATCCACCCAGGATGGGAGGGATTTTTTTTTTTGAGACAGGGTCCCACTATATAACCCAGGCTGAGCTTGACCTCACAGCGACCCTCCTGCTTCAGACTCGCAAGTGCTGGGATGAGGAGAAAGTGCTTTCTAGGTAGGCAGAGGAAGCGGCAAGGGAAGGCTGGTGGTCTGAGGGGAGCCACTGGTGTCACTGCAGGGCTAGGCAGATGGTGATGGAATAGGTTCAGGTTCTGTATCTAGAATGCCTGGCCCCCAACCCTGTGACCTTGGCCACTTCCCTCATTTCTCAGTGTGTTGAGTGCCCTTATCTGTAAAGATAACCTGTGACTGTTAATCATCCCATAATTAGATCTTTATTTTTTGTTTGTTTTTGAGACAGTGTCTCACTATGTAGTTCAGATTGGCATTGAATTCCTTATGTAGCCTAATCCTTGGCAATCATCCTGCCTCAGCCTCCCGTGTATGCCACCATCCCTAGCCTCCATCCCATAATTAAATGCAGATACTATAGAACTGTGCCTAGCACAGAGTAAGTAGCCCTCAGAGTAATTAGCTAATCCAGAGCTGTTAGCCACTTACTGTTATTTTTGGCAGTTTGACTTTTGAGGAGTTGAACTGACCCATTCGGAGCCCCCAAATCTCCCTGGACTCATTGCCAAGTTATTAGTGGACTTGGGGCCCGAGAAGGTGAACACCCCTGGTGAACTTCTCCCGTGTTTTCCAAGCCCTGGAAGAATGGAGCTGTGTAACAAACACATGGCTTGTTTTCATTCTCTGCATCTCAGGTCTGGGCTCTTTTAGTCCAAAGGGTCCAGAAAATAAAATCAGAAAGAACCTGCGGGTGTGGGAGGCCCTGGCTGGGTGTGCTGCTGTGGTGTGGGCCCACAGCAGGTAGACGTGTTGTTCATGGGAAAGCTGGGACGTCTGCGATCTCCTCCCTGTCAGTTCCTGCTCTGCCTGCAGCTCCTCGGGATTTCCCTTGCATTTGGCTCAGAATACGCTAGTACACATTTCACCATAACAGGTAAATCACCCAGTCCTGGGAGCGAGGGCACCTTACCCTGGTTTGTTTCTTTCCCTCTCTGCATTCAGGGGTTAACTCTTCCCGTGGGGTGGGGCAGTCGAGCCACTTTCACCTGGATCAGAGATGAAAGATCCAAAACCACAGGCCATAGTTTAGTGCACAAATAGCATCTGTTAAGGTAGCAAAAACCTGGTTACTGAGTAGCCCATGAACACCTCGGTTAGCTTTCATAGCAAACCACTTTTCTCTTGTCAGCTCGTCGCTTCTAAACAGTATGTTTATGTCACACCTCCATCTGAGCCGGTGTCCAAAATTGTTGTTTGTCACCAGTGAGCAAAATAAGCTCAGAGCAAATCTGTCATCGTACCCCTACATCTCCTCTATCAGAGGTAGAGAAAGCTGTGCCAAATCCCTTGTAGAGCTTACTTCCTCTCTGTGCAGGATTAATTCCTTTAGCCTGGTTAATTAACAGGCCTTTGTAAGGATACAGCCTAGATTAGAATTTTTTTTTTTTTTTTGGTACTGGGAATTGAACTCAGGACCTTGTGCTTGCCAGGCAGGTGCTTTACGCCACTGAGCTATATCCCCAGCCCTAGATTAGAATTTATTTCAGGGGGTTTTAAATACCACATTTGTATTCCTCCAATGTATTTTTTTTTTCCTTTCTAGGGCTGGAGTAAAATGTCCTTTCTCTTTTTTTTTCTGCTTAATGTTTATATAATACCAGATAATTTACAGTTAGAAATGGATGAATAAAAGGAATATTTAAAAGTAAAAACCTGTGGCCAGCCATGATTACATGCTTGTGTAGTCTTAGCTACTTCGGAGGCTGAAACAGGAGAATCGCTTGAATCCAGGAGTCTAAAGTCAGCCTGGGCAAGACAGTAAGACCCTGTCTCAAAAGTAGATAAATGAGGGCCAGGTGTGGTGGCACATGCCCGCAATTCTAGCACGTGGGAGGCTCAGGCAGGAAGATTGTTGTGAGTTTGAGGCCAGCCTAGGCTACAAAGTGAGTTTAAAGCCAGCCTGAATTACAGAGTGAGACCCTGTCTCAAAAAAAATGAAAAGATAAAAAGAAAAAAGAGGTGAATGAATAAATGAAAATGAAGAAATAGAAGTTGAGCTAGAGTTTAGCTTCTTTTCTTGTACTACAGGTTACATTGCTTGGTATGTGAGAGACTTGGGAAGGTTTGGAAGGTTGGCCTGGTACCGGTTTTTGGTTTTCATGTGTAAACATCTAACGGTGGAAATGCTTTGTGAAGTGACTCAGCTCTGACCTGACGCATCTTGCTCTTGACCCAAGCAGAAAACGCTTCAGTAGATACTAAAGTGCAGCTCTTAAGTGCCTGAATAAATTTGCTTGTAATTTATTTACCTCTTAATCTAAATGCTTTCTTTCAAGGGGGAAGTGTGAAGACTAATTATGTCTGTTTTCTTCCATACAGAAGATATCTTCTGCAAAGATCTGCAGGTAAGTTTTTTTGTTTGTTTGTTTGTTTGTTTGTTTTTAAGTAGCCCTCTGAAATACAAGATTTAACTTGATTTGAACTTGGGTGGTAGTTGTTGAAAATACCCACTTTGGGAGCTGACAGAGGAATTGGTCATGAATAGTCACCTATGCAGTTTTGTGTTTTGTTTTAAAATTTTTCTTTTTAGAGAAAAAAAGGAAGAGAAAAAGGAAAAGAAAATACATTCTTTTTTTCTGCAACATCTTACTCCTAAAGGGGAAACAAATAAAAACCAACCCGTGCTGGATCTTAGCTGCCAGTGTCCCAAAATTTCCTGAACAGTTGCACAACACTGATGAAGAATAAAAGTGAAAAACATGGAAACAACTTAAATTAAAAAAAAAAAAAAAAAAGGTTTTGGCAGTGTACTGGGCCTGGGAGATTCTCCATGTGGAAAACACACTAGCTCTGAGTTCCAGAGTCTGAACTGCCTTCCTGGGACACAGCACTGATCTTGGGCAGTTTTTTGGTTGTTGAGACAGTTTGAAGACAGGGTCTTGATATGCAGTTCAGACTGGCCTTGAACTCACTTGGTAGCCCGGGGGGCCTCGAACTCACAGTGATCCTCCTGCCTCAGCTTCCCGAGGTGTGGGCCACGACGCCCAGTGTGGGTAGGTCTTCTTGTCCACGGAGCCGCAGTTTGCTTGGCAGAGCATGGCCCACGCGTTCTCACACGGTCCCTGGGCCACTGCCTCCTCTTTCCAACCCCACGCCCTGCGCCTTCCTCACCTCCTGCTTCCTGTGCACCGCCTGAGCAGTCACAGGTGTCGACAGAAAGCCAGCGGAGGTGCTTTCATACACAGGTTTAGGATTCTGGTTTCAGATATTTCTGGGCTTTCGTCCAATCTCACTCCCTTTTTTGGCCTTTATTACAGATTTAACTTGATTAAATTTTATTACAAGCTGCAATTTGAAAGGAAAAATGTATATAACACCAAACCTCCGGACTCCTCTCCTTGTTCCGAAGGGGACTCACAGGCGGTAGATCCCGAGATTCCCAGGGGTGCAGGTGCTGCTCAGGTCACGTGTGCGGAAACCAGACCTCGCCCTGTGTCCCCCCTCCCATGGGACTGTCTGCCAGTGGGGGCGTCCCGGTGCTCGTCCCTGTGCGTGGGGATTGACCTGGGTTCCAGGGTGCCTTCCACCCTGGCGGACTCTGGACCCATGGGAGTCTTCTCACCTAGTCGCTGCCAGTCTCCGTGCAGCCCTAGGGAGCCCCAAAATCTGGCCTGTGCTCACCCCACCCTGCTATGCGGGGTCCTCTAGGCTGTGCATGTGGATGGAGGTGAGGGAGTCGGCGGAGAGGCTCCTTCCGCCGCTTCTGAGATCCCCTGTGCAGTCCTCTGCCTCCCACCCGGCCTGCTGTGCTGGTCTCTATACAGAGTGGGGACTGTGTGACGTGGCATGTGACAAAATCTCCAAAATCGAGAGTGCGTGTTCGGCACTCCTGTTCCTGCTGGTGAGCCTCTGCCTTGGGGGTCGGTAACGGGCCGACACTGCGCATGTCAGTGCGTTTAGGACCTGGGAAGGGGAGAGACGAAGTCGTTTGGGTTTTGTGCTTTCTGGTGCCTTAGTTAAGAAGCAAAGAATGGGAGGTGGGGCGGAAGAGTCCTGCTGAAAACCAGCGGCTGCTGAGCCCACTCCACAGGGGCTTTGTAATAGCTGAGCAGAGCTTTCTAAAACAGATTTCTGATTGGCAACATGCTCTCCTCCTTGTGCAAGAATTTTTAAAAAACATTGCATTGTGGAAATTACCAAACGTGTAGCAGACAGAATAGTACAGTGAAGTCCAGATGCCCATCTCTCGGCTTCAGCCATTTTTCTACTTAGGGACACATCGCTGCCTCTCGTCAGTACGACTTTGAAGCAAATCGCAGCACCATGGCATTCCGTCTGCAAATATTTCAGTGTGTATTTTTAATTTTTTTTTGAGACAAGGGTCTTATTAGATAGTTCAGACTGGCGTTGACCTCGCTGTGTATCTCAGGCTGGCCTCGAACCCTCATCCATGCTCAGCCTCCCAGAGTGCTGGGATTATAGGCATGCACCACTCTGTCCGGTTGCCTTTACATTTTGAAGAGCAAGGACCTGTCGCTTTGTGGACTGTCCCCAGGCCTGGGGCTGTCTCAGCATTTCCTCAAAATTTGGTTCAGGCTCCGAGAGCTAGAAGGAACATCACACGTGTGTGTGTGTGTGTGTGTGTGTGTGTGTGTGCGCGCGTGTGCACATGTGCACACAATGTCGTGTCCTCCTCGTATCCTAGCAGGAGGGTGTGATGTGGCTCTGTCCCGTCTTGGAAGTACTGAGTTTGGTCATTTGGTTAAGGAGGTGTGCAAAGGTTTTCCCTTTTATAACTGGCACGATTGTGACACGATTGCCCAGTTTGGTACTCGTGCTTTTGCCGCAGTGTTTTGACCTGTGGTTGGAAACCCTCCTGTCCTTGGACCCTGAACAGTGCACTGCCTTCCTCAAGCCAGCCTGGGCTTCCGGTGCCCGGCACAGGCTCGGGGCTGGGAGGCAGCTCCTGAGCAGCGGAGAGGGAAAATCGATTGAAGACCGTGGGGCAGTTGGGCTTTCAGAGGACGCATGGGACCCCAGTTGGTCTCCAGGCTCCACGATGCGTGCGTTTCTGTGTGTACATCCTGAGAGGTGCTTTGATGTTGAAAGTGAGGCGCCTTTTTATCTGCCTGTCCACAGTACCCTCTTCCTCCTGGCTGCGGTGGGGTGCCTTCCCTTCAACGACCCCCAGGTAAGTCCCAACACGCTCAGTGGCTGCAAACAACCTCCTGGCTGCCGCATCGCGCACACGCAGTTCCCCAGGCCTCTTCAGAAGCAGGGCGGCCCCGCCCAGCTGAGCATCCTGCAGCACTCAGCACGGCCCTGGGGACCTGCTGCCTGCGACCCTGTGTGCCCACCCCTCAGTCGCTGGCCTCGGGCCCTGAGCCCCAGTCATTTTCCCTGGAATCTCTGGGGCCTCTTCTAGGGAGTGATTCTCACATTATTCCCCGGTGCCTACGAGGAGGTTTTCTTCAGAGGCCAATGACCGCCCCACCCGGCCGTCATCTTCTGAACAGGTCTTTCTTTCTTTTCTCCCTCCCTCCCTTTCTCCCCAGCATCCTGAAGTCACCTGAGTGTCAGGCACCAGGCCAGGCTCTGAAGGCACAGAGATCAATCCTTGCACTGGCAGAAGCTGGCATCTATTTAGAGCAGTGAGGAGGAGGCAGACAGGTCAGTCAGCAGATTGTCACCCCAGGGAGGTCAGGGCCTGTGCAGGGTGACCGGGCGAACACCTAGGGAGGCTCAGACTGGGAAGCAGGAGCAGCCAGCGATGACAGGAATCCTGCTGCGGGCTGGGCGCTCTGCCAGTGCTTTGGGTGCCCTGTTTTATTTAAAATCTCACAGACTCTGTAAGGGCAGAGATCCATTTGAACTATTATTATCTCCATTTCATAGCTAAAGAATAGGGAGGCCCTCAAGGTCACCAGCTGAAGAATAAGTGAGGATTTGGGGCTGTGACCCAGATGTCATTTACTGGGCCCAAATCTGGAAGAGGAAGCAGGAATTGCCCACAGGAAGAGAGCAGGCAAGGCAGCATCCTGGGGGGTGGTCTCAAGTATTCTGGGATTTGGTTTAATTGAGCACCTACCTTGTATCTACCCTGTGTCTACCCGTTCTAATTCCTGCCCTCCCAGAATTTGTAATCTAGTGGAGAGCAGCTGGCAATAGAAACAGACAAAGAATAAAGAAACTTTGGGGTGTGTCAGGTGATACTAATTTCTATGGAGAGTAAGGAAGGAAGAAGAGGAGTCCCCCTGGCTGAGTTGTAGGGCAAAGCCTCAAGCTTAGGGAAATGCAGGTCATCCTTGTTTTGGGGTTGGGGGCGGTAGGTGCACCCGGAGGGGTTGGCGGGGTTTGTCATAGAGGTCCTTGGGCGGCATGAGTTTGCATTTGGGTTTCTTTTTCTAGGTTTTAATTTTTAAAATTTTTATTTTTATTAGTGCACGTTTGCAAATTCATGGTTACCTTCATGGTGGGGAGTTAGTACACGGACGTAACACTCTTAATTCTTTTTACACCCCTTCCCCTTCCCTCCCCTCCCCTCCCCCGCATCCCTCCTTCTCTTGGTCCCCTTTCCTTCTGTAAAAGCTCTGTCTCCTTGTTAGGAGTCTGCGTTTGAACACTGTGGTGGCAGGGTGGGGTGTGGGGTGCTGGAGGCTGAGTGCTCTTGGGAGGGTGCTGTAGCTGCTGGATGATAAATGAAGAGACGCTGACTGAGCCTGGGATTGCTGATTCAGAGCCTTTGCTTGGCCCTGTGTGGAGCTGACAGTGGGTCCTTTTTGTCTGTACTTACAGCCATTTTTAAAAATCCATTTTTTTTTTTTTAATCTCGTGTTACAGTTTGATCCAGAGGGATATTTCTGGGCTGTGATTCACTTGTTGTGTGTAGGTAAGTTTGAGAAGGAGGCTTACTTAATTGAGGTTAGTTATTCAGTCCTTACTCTAGATCCCCATTTTAGTAACCCTCTAAGCCATAGCAAAATTAAAGCAAGGTGTTAAAGTTCAAATGAAATGGGTATTTTCTGGCTTGGCATTTCTGTTGTGGAGTTTTTCTTCAACTGTTTCCATTTCCAATATAATTTTCTCTTTTCCATGATGGATGTTAACCTGCCCCAGCCTGCTCATAGGATGGAGGAGATCCAGAAAGTTATGTCAAAAACTCTTCCTTTGGGTAGTCTGTCCCCTCAAATTAAAAAATACAGTTGGTGAAATCAGAGGCACATCTGATGTCATTTGAAATCACACGGCCAGTGTCTCTTGCCCGTAGTCTCAGGGGAGAAGCGACACACTGCCTTTGTTAACGCAGGTCAGACCCGTTCAGACACGCGGCATTCCTCTTGCCCCGGGCACGAGCTCCAAGGAGAGACAGTCCTGTTGGGGGAAGCCACCTGCTGTCCTGGGCTGACCGTGCCCAGCCTCTCCGCAAGCCCTGGGAGGACAGACCGGCCTCACCACGGAGGACCACTGGCTTCACGGCCTCAGGCCCTTAGAGTTTTGGTCCTGTGTGTAGGTGTGTGCTCACCTGGGGAAAGAGGATCGATGCTCCCTTTCCCCTTTTGAGGGCAGGCGCTCTTCAGCAGGACACACCAGTGACAGACTGCTTCTTTGCAGGGGCCTATAAGATAGTGCGGAAGGCCCAGAACCCCAGTGCGTTAAGGTAAGCGCTTAATACTTGGGGGCGGTTGGGCGGGTAAAGGAAAAGGGTGAGGTCTGTGTGAGCACAGGCATGGTGGCAGCGGGGTGCAGACACACTCCAAGCCACCTCTCTGCTCTTGAGGCCGGGTCCCTTCCGGCCTGCCGCAGCCTTTGACCACGCGTGCCTGGGGCCTCAGCCCCTTGCTGCAGGGCAGCCACCCAGAGGAGAGTGGCCTGACAAGCATGCGGCCAGCTTCTGGGGGGCCCAGCTGGCTACTTCCAGCTCAGAGGGACTTGACTCAGTTTACACCCCAGAGTCTCCCCAGTTTCTAGCCCCTTCTCAGGTAAAATAAGGCCTTCACTGCGAGCAGTCAATGGAGCCATCTTAGCAAAGGTAGATTTTTTTTTTCCGGTACCGGGGATTGAACTCACGACCTGCGCTTGCTGGGCAAGCGCTGTGCCACTGAGCTAAATCCCCAGCCAAGCAAAGGTAGATGAACAGAGACGGTAATTGTGGCCCTGCTGAGCTGGAGCTGGGAGGTCAGTGCCCGAGACTGGCCTGTGCATGTGGGGGTTGCCTGAAGGCCTACAAAGAAACGGTCATGTACTCTGCGAACCTGTGACTTTCACTCCTTAAAGCTTTAAAAAAATTTTTTTAAATAATTCTTTTCAGCATTAGATTTTAAACCCAGAGCCTTCACATTGAGCTGTATCCCCAGACCTTTTTCATTTGTTTGAGGCAGGGTCTTGCTAAGTCACTAAATTGCCAATTAGGCTTGAATTTGAGGTCCTCCTGCCTCAGCTTCCCAGATTGCTGGGAGTATAGGTGTGTGCCACCACACCCGGGTTCCTTTGTTCTTTTAATAAAGTGTTTTTGCATAAAGAAACCAAGAGAGTTGCCTAAAATACAGGATGCCCTTTAAATTTGAATTTCAGATAAGCAGCAAATAATTTTTTATTTTATGTCCCATGTGATATTTGGAACATACACTAAAACTTTATCTGAAACTCAAATTTACTTGAATTGACCTCTATTTCTAATTGTTAAATATGGTCAATTTAGAAGTCAGTCTTGTGGCCTGACATTGACAGTCCTTTGAAAGTGGCCAGTGGGAAGCAGTTGGCCCCAGGTGAAAATGTGTGCTATGTACTAAATAAGCAGTTTCTTTAAAAAAATACCAATCAGGATAAAGTTATTATGTATAAATTTAAAACAATTTTTAGAAATAAAAAAGAAATTAAAAATTTTTTTTTCAAAAACCTAGAACTGTTTTGAATATAAAGTTTTCTTCCTCCTATTTATTGATAATTTATAACAGTAGTGACATACTTAATAGAAGTTATTACAGAGGAGAATGACTACTTTATGTATTTAAGAATTACTTCTATTGTTTCATGTCTTATCTCTTTCTTTCTTGTTCCTTAGTGATATTGACCAGCAGTATTTAAACTATATATTCAGGTAAAGTATAATTTATGTTTTTAAAGAGTAATGTTAAAGAACAATCCTTCTAGAGCTAATGAATTTTTATTTTCCAATAATATTATGATGATAAGAGTTCTGAGGAACCAGGCCTACCAGGAAAGCAGGTAAAATAATCTGTGAGATGAGCAGAATTGAGGAAACCAAATAGTACAGCCCTCAGACCAGGCCACCCTGTACCCCTGCGGGTTAGGGATGCCTCCTGGCGTCTAGCTGTTCCCTGGAATCCTACACGGTGGCCCTGAGGCTCGCTCTCAAGGTGCGGGCCTGAGCCTGGGAAGAAAGAGAGGATCTCCCCACAGGCTGCCTCCGCCATGAACCACAAACACTCCTGGAGCTCGAAATTCTAATGTAAATTTCAAAGTGTTTTCAAGGGATATTTGTTAAGGTACAGTCAAGTTTGAAGCTTGACTTATAGCTTAGTTTTTACAAATTAAAATGAATTTTACTGAATAACAAACAGAGGAATTATGACACATGAGTGAAATTGTTTTTAAGATTAAAAACGTGGATAAAAGTATAGGCATAACACTATTTTTATTTTCATTTAAGCCAACCATATGTTGTGCGCCAAAAAGTTATTTAGACAAAGTGCATGGTTGACATTTTAGACTTTATACAGATTCCAGAACAGAAAATAAAACAATTTTTTCTACTTTTCAAATTATTACATATATTTACCTGAAGTGCAACGTTGATAAAACAAAGCAGCTACAGCAATACAAGCAACATTATTAGGGGAGCTGTTTACTTTTTAATGGTTGTAGTGGAGCCAGTTTTCCTTGTTAAGTACCTATAGGGATTTAGCACACATGTTCTTTTGTTTGTTTGTTTTTTGAGATAGGGTCTCACTATGTACATAATTAGGCTAGCCTTGAACTTGCAGTGATCCTCCTGCCTCAGCCTCCTAAATTCTGGGATTACAGGCTTGTGCCACCATGCCTGACACACTTCTGGTTCTTGAATACAACAAAAAATGTGGATTTGATAAAGAAACATGCATATATGTATATATGATGTATATGCATATATTTCCAGTCAAGCATTCAAGATAAAAGGGCTAATGTTTTTTGAACAGTAGGAAATTTATTGGGGAAAAAGAATGAGGACTAGGAATGGGGACTAGAAGTAGGTCCTGAGAGGCAGGAGGGGTTCAGAATGGGTTGCCCAAGGACTGACTATTGATCGAAACTTAAATAAAAAATGAACTTTGGAGATATATTTAAAAATTCCCTCCCAGCCACCGTCAGTGCATTTCTTTACACCCCCAGAAGAAAGCCCAGGGGTTCCAGTGTCCGAAGCTTCTGCCACCTTCCCAGTGGTGCAGCTGCCAACCATGCCACAAGGTGTGCCTGACCTAGCCCTGTCCCTGCTGCCATCACAGTGTCCCCTCACAGCGCTCTACAAGTCGCCAACTCCTGGGCTGCCGCTCTGCCCTGCGCTGGCCGCCTCCCGGTCTATGTTCTGCTCCCCTCCCGGCTTCTTACTCTGTCTCCTGCCATGTTGGCTCTTTCCTGGCCAAGACACTCGTCTTTTGCCCTGGACCTTGAGTTTCCTGCCTTTATGTGCCGACGTCTCTCTGACCACTGATCACCTTTTGCTTCTCTCATCTCTGTGCAGGTCCATAGTTTTCCTTCCTTCCTGTCCCATGCTCAGCCCCTCCTTCCCATCTCTCACGGTCATCTCGTTGACCATGGAGGAAGAGCTCTGCCTTTTCCCTTGCCTGCTCACTCTGTTTTACCGTCTTCCCTGCCCTCCTCCTCCACACGAGTTCTGCTGTGATTTACTGCGTCTTGCTCACCCCCGGATTGCTCTTCCTTTGCTCCAGACTGGGCTTCACACAGCTGCATTCAGAAACTTCCTCTTCGCCAGCTGCTTGATTTCATGGTGCCTATAAAGTCCAGCGCAGTCCACCGTGATCTTTCTGCTCCGTTACGCCCAAATGTGCTTTATTCTTTCTTCCTCTTCAGCTCCTTTTTGCCGTTATTTTTTTTTATAAGCAGATATCACAAGTCCCTTTTTTAAAAATCGGATTCTACTTTCCCCACTTTTCCTTCTTACTCTTTTCTTTTCCATTTTCTCCTGATCTTGACAGCTTTTAGTGAAAAGACTGTACTTGGGGTTTCAGTGTTTTCCCAAAAGCATTTTGGGATTTCTTTCCTCTTTTTTTCTGCACCTCATTGCAAATACTGTCATATTCATATATAGTGGCCCTTCAGCAAGAGCCTTCTGAATTTCCTGTTTGGTTTGGGGAAGTTTATTTATTTGGCCTTAATTTTCTTTTTTTTTTGTACTGGGAATTGAACTCAGGACCTTGCACGTGCCAGGCAGGTGCTGTGCTACTGCGCTATCTCCCCAGCCCAATGCCTTAATTTTCCTAAAATAGTGAGGGTAGCGGGGTGTGCTGGTGTACCCTATAATTCCAGCACTGGGGAGACTGAGGCAGGAGGATCACAAGTTCAAGCTCAGCCCGGGCATCACAGTGAGACCGTTTTGCAGCCTGTTTTTTGGCCGCTCCCTTCTAAAGGGCTTCACTCACGGGGGTGTTGTCATCATCATCATCACCATCATCAGAATCATTCCCTGAAACTAATGGTTTTTGCAAAACAGGGTACAACTGCTGTGTTTTCTTTGGCAGAATAAACCCGTACTTTGGTCTGAAATTGCCACCTTGCTCCTATCCCTGCTAAATGTGGTCTGATTTGCAACCTTTAAATATAACATAGGACGTCTCTAAATAGAAGAGCCAGGATCGGCCCTGGGTTTCAGTAGCCCCCAGCTGTGCACGGCTGGAGAAGCAAGGTTCATGTTAAAGAGCACATAGGTCAGAGCTGGGCCTCAGCACCAAGTGGTGCTGATTGCAGAGGAAGTTCCATGACTGAGACGGTCTGACATGAGCCAGCTTCTCCATCTGCAGAGAAAGCTCATAAATATTTTACAGTTATTACAGTACCTTTTAAAATGCAAGATGCCGCAAGCATGGCTTTGGCCACCTGTGTTCTGAGCAGCAAACTATCATTAGTTCCACTCTGCTCAGACCCACTGGCTGTTTTTCTAGGGACCTTTCTGAAAATGCAGAAGCTTCTTGGTGTTGAACGTGTGTAAGGGCCGGGGTGCGTAGCTCAGTGGTTGGCAGAGCACTTTCTAATATGCTCAGGACCACCTCCCCCAAACAACAACAACAACAACAACAACAAAACCCTCACTGCACCAAAATGTGTTCCTAAGACATCAGGCCTTGTTAGCAGTTCTGCACAGAAGGGACAGCTGCATCACACACCAAAGGAATGGGAAAGGGGTGCCTGCGACCCTCAGCCCTTGCTTGCTCCGTCTTCTTCCCGCACCTGACGTGAGGATTATTTCTACTGCACCAGCGGTGAGCCCGGCACTCTCACTTCTTGCCCGTGTCCGTGGCACACCTGCTAAAGCCCTGACTCGTTTCTGGGTCTTCCCTCCAATCCGAATGGTGAAGAGACGTGAATCAGGGTGAGGCCTCTCCTGCGGACACTGGCTGCGCTGGAATCAGTACCCAGAACCCAGCAGTCTGCTGAGCTTTAGGGTGGCCCTGCCTGGGCAGCCTGTACCACTGCCTGCCGGGGCGAGGAGTTGCTTTGAGCTCTCAGTATTTGGAGAGAGGCAAAAATGTAGTACGCTGAACTTCGCCCTTAGCAGACCCTTCTGGACCATTTAGTTTGTTTCCTCCCTGGTACTGGCTTTTTCTAATGTTTCTGATATAGATAGAGGACTAGGACACAGGTAGGGGGAGAAGGTAAAGGAAAGAAGAAAAGGAAGGGTGTGTGGGGGCAGAAAAGGAGTGGAGCTTCTGAGACTGGATGGCTTTGATCTGCATTTGGATTTTGGAGAATTTATAAGGAGGGAAATCGGTGCCCGCACTTGTAGCACCATTTCTATTTAATATGAGGCAGACTTGGGCCGCTCTCAGCCTGTTAAACAGAAAATTCCCATAATGCTGCTGGTTCATTGTGCACCTCCTGACTCTGCAGATAAGGTTTTGTGCGTGACCGGCAGAGGGAAGCAGGCAGGCATTCTCTCTGGGTATGACTTCTTGAAACGGAAAAAATGTACCGGACTTTAGCAAGTGGAGATGATAGCGTCTTCATGTTTTCCCATGTATTTCCCGAGACCATCAGGTCATCTTCTGTTTTGTTCATTCTCTCCTTGCAGATATTAAAAAAGTGCCTGACAGATACTAAGCACTCAAATGTTTACTGAATGAGTGAATTTATAAACGATCTGCTGTTTGTCTGGCTTGGTATACCTTCTATTAGAATAACTTCCTTATTAGAGTTTGCATGTAATTTATAACCTTAGAAGGGGGGGCCTCAAATTATATTTTTTCTTCAAACATTTTTCCCACCACAGATACACCTAGAGGTAATGTACTGAACCCGCTGTGTTCCCCACACTGCGAGGCACTTGGGATCCAGAGAGGAATGGGATGTGGTTCTTGTTCCCAAGGAGGCCAGAGAGGAGGAACGAGGAGCAGGTTAAATGATACTTAAAGCCAGCAGCCAGGTGTGGTGGTGCATGCCTGTAATCCCAGCACTTGGGAAGCTGAGGCAGGAGAGGCTGGAGGGTCACTGCAAGTTCCAGGTGAGCCTGAACTACACAGTGAGACCCTGTCTCAAACAAACAAATAAACAATACTTGCAAAATTCCAAACAGGGCTTAGAGAACCAATTCTTTGATTTAATGATTTCTTCTTGTTGCTGTCCCCCCTAGTTTTTGTTTTAGGGTCACCCTTTGGAGTGATCCTGATGATGAGGCTTGGGGGCTGTGTGGGGATGGAGGGAGGCCCCTTCTGTTCTGTGACAGGAGTGATAACTTTTGCTCCTGACGTTGTAATGGAAAGAAGGGCCAGGGAGTTAAGACTGGAGCCTGTGTAGGCTGTGTGTTCCACAGAAAACAAGAGGGCAGGGGTTCAGCTGCAGTTTCCAGTCTCGTGTAGGTTATTTTGTTGCCTTTTTAAAGACAGAGTCTCACTGTGTAGTCCAGGCTGGCCTGGAACTTAGTTATCTTCCCACCCCAGCCTCCTGAGGCTAAGGCCGAGAAAAGTGGCACAACTGACCTGCAGGTGGGACAGGAGACCCTCAGTTTGTCCCAAGGCTGGATTCAGTCCTTTTGCCAAAACCTGGGGCATCCCAGGGATCTCTCACTCTCTGGAGTTGGGTTTGGGCAGGATGGCACCAGTCACTGCTTTTAGGAAAATTTAACTGTTTCCAAGTAGAAAGGCTAAAACTATATTTATTTTCTAATGCTCTGTTTTATTTTTTGTACCAGTGCTGAGGAAGCTTTCCTAACTTCTGTGCTGTTCTTTTTCAGTGTAGCGCTCCTGGCATTTGCGTCTCACCCCACAGGTAAACCACTCTAGTGTTTGATGTCACATTGTTGTGTGTTCGTGTCACTGGGCCTGGCTCTAGCTCCGCAGATACCTGTAAGAGAATTTGGTTGCCCTGGGGATGTCACGGAGAGGATGTCATAGGAAGCAGCCTGCATATTTGCAATGCTTTTGACAACCCACTAGAACAGGCTAGGGTGCAGCTCAGGGGAGGAGCGCGAGGCCTTGGGTTCCATCCTCAGCACCACCAGAAATTAAAATTAAAAAGAAAATATTATGGATTTATGCCCAGGAACTTACTCTTACCCTGCCTGAATTTTGACATCTGTGAGTCATCTGGTGATCTGTCTCAGGAATGCAGCAGTGTCCATTACCTGCTGAGTAAACTAGTGCTTGTTTTACTCTCTTCCAAAATTTCTTCCCCAAGTGTCCAGAATTGCTCTTTAGTTCTGGTGCTAAAGGATTTGCTGAAAAAGTTCAAATTCACTTTATTTCTAGTTGGCATCATTTTATAAATCTTTAAATTATATGTCACCACCCAGTTTTCACAACTCTAGCATAAAGTTTGTTTTCAGAACTTATTTTCATGACATTGCTGCCTTGGTTGCTCCATAGCTGCTTCTTAGATTCAGGAATTACCCACAATGCTCCTCTCCACCATGCTTTTTCACTGTGAAACACTTTGAAGTCTTATTAATCCATTTTTTTGTGGCTAATAATACCACAGACTGGGTAAATTGTAGAAAAAGGAGATTTATCTGGGCGCCTAATTGTGGTCCAAGGACATGGGGTCCTACCTGTGATATTTTTCTATCTGGCAAATCCTTACGTGGTGCATGGCATTATAGGGTGAGACAGAGAGAGTTTTCTGTGTTCTTTCTTCTCTTAGAAAGACCCCTGTGTCCAGTAGGGGGCCCCTGGCTTGATGATGACCTTATCCAATCCTGCGCTCCTCCCAAGAGCCTTACCCCTAAGGGCCGTATTCCGAGTAAGTGTCTACTCTCTCCAGACCCCATAATGGGGTCCCTTTTCCACTTGGGTTTCTGAAGAGACACATGGTACCCAAACCGTAGCAGAAGCTGACACCCAAGATAAAACGGTCACATCTGGTGTGGCATGGCTGAGCATCCACTTTCACCGGCCTTGCTCCCTGTGTCGTGATGGAGTTCGAGGGACAGAACATTGATTCAGAAGGACTGGAACTTCTTTGACTTTCTCACTGAGTGGCCTTGAGACCTTTTGAAAAACAAAACAAAAATAGTGTTACATATGACCATTGGCATGCATAAGGTTAGTCCCAAACACTCAGGTAAGCCAGGTATGTGGCACATGCCTGTAATCTCAACACTTTGGGAGCCTTAGGCAGGAGGATAGCAAGTTTGAGCCCAGCTGGAGTAACTTGGTGGGGTAGCTAAATCCTGTCTCAAAAGTAAAAACTTAAAAGGACAAAGGATGTAGCTCAGGGCGAGGCCTTGAGTTCAGTCCCCAGTACTGAAGGAAGGAGGAGGAGGAAGAGAGAGAGAGGTAGCCTGAAAAGCACCACTTTGCGCTCCTCCTGTGCCTGAAGCAGTGACATCTCTTTCCGTTGGTAGTTTGGCCGTTTCTGACTAGTCTTGTCATTAGGGAGGTTCAGTCGTAAGGCTTCCAAACTGTATGCCGAATCTGCCCAGGCCTCCTAAGGATAGTTGGAGTCACCTGTTCTTAATGTGTTACCACGTTCTACTTGCCCGCGTGGAAGCCCATACACTCTCACAGCCCAGTGACATCTCAGAAGCCTGAGGTTAGCTATTACATTAGCCTCCATGGTTGTGTGTTAAAAGCCTGACTTACCATACAATGTTGTAAGATACGTACAGTAATAAATCCCACAAAGCCAAGCCATTAACCCTAACCAGTTTCTGCTCCCCTTCCTGTCTGTCTGCCTTCAGACACTCCCCCTGCTCTGCTTTCTGCAGCCAGGCCAGGGGTTCCTCCGCCTATGAAGTGCATGTTTGTCAGAAGCCTCTGAAAAGTTAGTTACATGCACTGGTTCTCCTGGTTTAATGTTCATTTACCCCTTGGATTGTTCCCATTGGACTCGGCAGATATGTTTTACCCAGAGAGATCACTTTTCCTTTGAGCCGGGAGATTATGATCATCCACTTGTTATACTCATGACTTTTAGAGCTGGAGAGAATCTTAGCAGTGATTTCACAAGAGAGGAAACTGAAGCGCAGAGAGTGACGTAACCAAGATGCCTAGCAGGAGGAAACTGGAGTTCAGGGCTCCTGACCCTGCTGCCAAGTTTTTCTTTTTAATTACCACTTTTTTTCCCAGTGATCCTACACTTTATTATCAAGTGCCCCAAGAACGTGAATAGTTTCAAGTGAATTTAGAAATGTTTCCTTTTGGAGCTTTTCTTGGTTTGGGGAGCGGATTTTTTTTTTTTTTTTTTTTTTTTTTTTTTTTTTTTGAGACAGGTTCTTGCTGTGCAGTTCAGGCTGGCCTTAAGCTCACTTTGTAGCCCAGGATGGTGTTGAAATAGCAACGATCCTCCTGCCTCAGCCTCCCCAGTGCTGGGATTACAGGCATGCACCACCATGCCCGGCTGGGAAGGGGATTTTATCCACCCATTTCCAGTCATGGTGGCTACTGGCATAGTTTATCTATTTTGGCCAGTGGCCTGACATTTTACTCAGAGTCACTGCTAAACTTTTAGGTCACTGGAAAAATACCTTAGACACATCCGTGTTCTCTGGGAACACAAAGTGGTCAGTAGCCTGTAGCTGTAGAGTGGGCTGGACAGCAGAGTACAGTATGGTAGGCATTGGTTCATTTCCAAGGCAATGAAAACGTGGTAGGATGAAATAGTGGGAATGGCTGTACGATTGTGTGATGACACTAAACACCACAGAAGTGTGCACATGAAAGGGGTGAATTACATAGTCCAGGAACTGTGTCTTGATAAGCAAACATGTGGAAGACAGAAGAAATTTCTGATTTCTGATTTGAGAACGTGTTCAGACTTAGATGTACCAGAAGAAGATACTTACAAGGATTAATTTTTCTTAAAATTATAATTTTAGGGGCTAGGGCTATAGATCTGTGGTAGAGCACTTGCCTGGGGCGTGTGAGGCCCTGAGTTCAATCCCCAGTACTGATATTAAAAAACAACAAAACATGGACAGCAGCTGTTTGCCTCCCATCATTTTTCCTTCAGCTTCGAGCCTGTGGTGTGGTAAACACTTGGTCCATGATGGGCAGCCCAAGGAACTGGGAAGCCTGTCGGGTTCATTCTAAATGGCCTCTGACACATTCCCCTTGAAGGAACTCTGTCTGCAGCTCTGCTGTGTTGCAGTTTCCACCTCTGCCTGGTGAGATGCCATCACTGCAGAGGCCAGGTGTTCAGAGTTGGCCTGAGGAGCTTGCTGGGCCGCTCGTACTAATGTGCCTCTTCAGTCAGAAGCAGAGGTGACACTGTGTCCTTTGCTGTGAGTAGCTGAGGCTTCCAGGGAAGGAGGCCCCAGAGCTGTAGGACCTGCATGTGGCTGTCATAGCAGGGCTTCTGCAAAGGCCCTGGGCAGGTGGGCATGGGATTACGGATAGGTTGGGGGCAGTCTTCGAGAAGGAGCCAGATCCTTCCAAGTAGACCAGTGCCAAGCATTGACCTCAAACCTAGGTAGCCATGGAGTTTGCTCTTGAGGGTCTGAATGGGTGAGGACCATTGAGTAAAGTAGTGAAGCCTCACGAAGCAGAGGCGCATTGTTTCTGAAATGCACTCAGGGATTGGGAAGGGCTTATATTTGTGCAAGCGGACAGTGAAGGCACACGGATATTATGGTAGGAATTTGCTGTGAGAGTTGACAGAAACTTGGGTTTGGAAGACTCTTGGGAGTCAGTTGCCTGATCTCTGATAGACCTTGGTGCTATTAGTTCATAGTGGTGATGATACAGTTGCAGCAGATAAGACTGGATCACTGGACCTTAGAGTAGATGTAGTTTAACTTTTTATGAAAGTTTAAAGTGTTTGTGCCATTGGTCACTCCCACCCAGCAGTGTGGGTGATTCTGGTATCTCCATATCCTCCCTGCTGTCTGGTGTGTTGTCTCATTTGAGCTCTTCAGCTGAGGAATGGCCTCAGATGGCCTTTTTGCCTGAGCTTCCCTCCTTCCTTGTGTAGGAGGTCTAGAGAGAAGGGCTTCCTTGTAGGCGCACCTTTGCGGTGAGGGGTCAGGCAGATCTCCACGGCCTGGGCACTGGGTCGGCTTCTGGGCAGTGGACTCTCTTCTTGGCCTTTGGCCCTCACAGTTCGTGTAGAGGTGCCAAGAGTCTCCACACCTTGCTTGGGAAGGTCCCTCCTTCCCCGTTGGACTGTTTGAGCAGTAGAGATACACTACTTTCCACTTTATATAGAGATACGCTATACTTTATACTTCACATTTGTGTGGAGCCCCTCAAATGTGGTGTTCATGAGAGAATTTCAAGGAACCAGGCGAGCAGGGAGACCTGTAGGAATCTGACCCCGAGGTGATCTTGGTACGTGGGGTGTCCTATGCCCCTGTGTGAGCCGAAGCAAGGAGCGTTAGTCACTCCCAGCACCGACTCCACATTGCAGCCAGTTGAGAAGGCTTGAGTGTGGTGAGAGGAAGTCTCCTTTGTGTTCAAGTCTCAGTTAGTCCTGACCAGGGCAGGACTGTGCCACGCTTTCACCATGGCAACTCCATGCTCTGTAATCTTCAGAGAAGGATGGTCCCCTCTCTCCCTCTGTCAATCCGTACAGTTTGAGCGGGAGCATCGGCCTCAGGTTGCCGCCACCACTCATGTTGCCAGCCCTCCGGGCACTTGCTGGGTGTGGCAGTATGCAGCTCAGAGCAAGGTGGTGTGGACTTGTTGGCCTGTGAGCATCTTTCCAATGTTTAAGGCCCTGCCCTGAGCTCTCACGGGGTTAGGGCTGGCTGCGATGCTGCGACCTCTTGAACGGTATTCATGGCAGAGTCACTGTGTTGGCTGGCTTTCCTGTTGCTCTGACACAAACCTGGACACGCACAGTTTAAAGGAGAGGTTTATGTTAGCTCACAGTGTAAGGGGATTCAGCCCATGGTCAGTGGGTCCAAGGCAGAAGCATCATGGGGGAAGAGTGCGGTGGAGCAAAGCTGCTTAGTTCTTGGCATTCGTTTGAGAAGCAGAGCAGGGGAACAGTGCCAGAGAGGGAGGGGTAGGGGACCAGATAGGGTCCTCAAGGTCACGCCTCATGACCCAGCTGACACCCCTAGAAGTGCGCTTTACTAATCTCATATGTAGCTCCCAAACCCATCCAGCTGACAGTTACACTTACTCATCACAGTCACTGACTCTTGCTGTTTAGGGGCTGGCGTGCACCCTAATGGTGCTTCCTTTTCTTTGGTTTTGTTTTGTTTTGTTTTTTTGAAACAGGGTCTCACTATATATTTCAGGCTGGCCTTGAACTTACTGTGTAGCCCAGGCTGGCCTCAAATGCATAGTGATCCTCCTGCCTCAGCCTCCCAAGTGCTGGATATAGTGCTACTTTAGCACTAACGTGGTGGACAAGGGCGAATGCGGTAGCATTGCTGCTTTCAAGAGTTGGCGGGATGGGGAGAGGCACCAGGTCAGCTAGGTGCTGTGTGAGGGATGAGTAAAATTTCTAGGAGTGGCTCAAGGGTCACGGGGAGGCCATGCTCTTTCTCAGTCATTTCTGGGGCCCATTTTTGGGATTTGGGGGGGCTACGATCTAACTGGCAAATCCCTTAGGGCTCTGAGATACTCCTTGCCTCCCGCCCTCCTAGGGGGCCCCCACCTGTTCCTGTGTGCCTTAGCACACCGCTAAAGCCTGGCTGGGCTATAAAAGCTGCTGGCCCCCCTGTGAGTCCAGTTTATCCCCCAGAGTATTTCCACTGAAAGACGGGGCGCCAAGGTGAGGCACAGCTGGCCAAGGTCCTGGGTCTAATGGACCACCCCATGCCGTTCCTCATTATCACACTGACTGCACTGCCTTCCGCCGCCCTGAAAGGGCATTTGGGAAACAGCCAAGAGCCAGCAGCTGCCCAAGAGACAACTGAGTCCTTCGCAGGTGTCCCTTCCACATGCCTGAGCAGCGTCCAGCACCCTTCAGGGTCACGCTGGCTGTCACTTCGGGGGGAGAGGACCTCAGAACACTTTCTGCTCACCCTGCATTGGAGAGCTGTGTCTGAGCGCGTCGGTTTTGAGTTCCCCCTCCCGTCACGGGCCCTGATTGGGGGTAGAGGCTTTCAGTGGAATCACAGCCCAAGGAGACCATGAGTGCTGGGCTGCTCGAAAATGAACTCCCAAGTACGTGCACAAAGGTAACAGTCACAATAAGAAACAAGCTTGCAGAAAACTGAATTCAGAACTGCTTTTCCAGTAGATGGGTGAATCATTTGAGATCACTGAAGTCTCCCAAGAAGTGCAGCAGCGATTGCATCTCGAGTTCTGAAATGCTTGCTGAGTAGGCACCGGGGTGCAGGGTACACTGCCTCCGTGTCCCACCCCGCACCTGATCCACCCGGGGTGCTTGGGGGCGTCAGCCTTCTCCCCTGGCCCACCAGGACCGAGAGACAGACCAAACCTGAGATCCGGAGGCCCAGGCCCCTGCCGAGTGGCAGGAATTCCAGATTTGGAAGGATTAAGTGCTGCGCTGTGGAAATGCTCAATTCCTTTTCTCAGGACATTTTTGGAAGGCTTTCTGCTTTTTTAATCTCCTGACTTCTTGTTTGTGACCAAGTTCAAATTCCAGAGAGGGAAGCAGCCAATATGTGTAATTATTTCCTCTTGTACTAAGTGGAACTAAAAGAATGATCTTACTTCACAAGAAATAAATGTACCCTTTGGACCTTAGACTAAAGTGAGTATGCACAGTGGGTCTGGCCCCTGTGCTGTTTGCTCAGTAATTAAGCACAAAAATGAAAAAATATGTCAGGGGAATGCATTCATGTTCTTTTTTTAGACATAGGCTGAAACAAAAAATCCTAAAAGAAGACTTTTTCTTCCCCCATTGTCCCTGGGGCAGGGAGGCTGCCTAGTGAAGATCTTGGGGTCTTCTGCCTTCGTGGTTCAAGACTTATGCAATCTCATAAGCAATCCCCCCTCTTCCCTGAGCTCCAGTTTAAATGGGGACAGCGGAGCCTCACAGAGTTCTGAAGACTGAACGAGATACAGGCATAACGCTTTTAGCAAAGGCCCGTGCACAAGGCATGCTGTCTCCAAGCAGGCATTGTTATTATCTGTTCGCTCATGTTAAACAGCACTGCCAACACCAGAATCCCTAGGGGACCCAGTATAGACAGCTCTGGGAGTTGGTGGAGTGCTGCTCTGCTGCCAACCCTCGCATTGCTTCCTCAGGACAGTGGGTGCAGGGGGGACGTGGAGGGCGGAGGGGACCATTGTCACACCATGCCTGTGCTCTGCAGGTGACCTCGTCAGTGTCCTGGACTTCCCGTTCCTGTATTTCTACAGATTCCACGGCAGCTGTTGTGCCAGGTAACCTTGAGCTCACCGATTCGTGGCCTTCCATGTCTCTGTCTGTGTGAAGTCCACAGTCACTGCCAGGGATCTGAGTGAGTGGCAGAAGCCAGCCGTGGTGGGTGGGGCTGGGAAGCAGCTCCTTTGCTCCCCAGTGACTGTAGGTGTCACTGGATACCTACAGGTGCTCAGGGCCAGCCTGGGTACAGTGAGGACCCTGGGCCTGCACACAGGCACTGATTTTCAAACTTGGTGAAGAGGTGCCTTCCCCCATTTCTGTTCTTTCCACAAGCAAATCTCACACAGAACTTCATTGTACAAAACCGATGAAACTAAGCCAGTCGTGGTGGTGTACATCTGTAATCCTGGCACTCGGAAGGCTGAAGCAGGAGGATTGGCAGGTGTTTGTGGCCAGCTTGGGCTACATAGTGAGCTCAAGGCCAGCCTGAACTACATAGCAAGATCTCATCTCAAAAACAAACAAACAGACAAACAAAGCTGTATTCTGAAGTAGTGGAAAGAGCAAATGTGTCGAACTCCAGGATTGCTGCTGCTAGTTGTGTAAAATCTGTAAAATGGGAAAATAGCACCAGTAGGGGGTTATTGTTTGCATCAAATCAAATGTGTACGTATATAAAGTCCTAAGCACCGTGCCTGGCCGGGTACATGGTGGCCATTCTTGCTCCCTGTTCAGACGCACCATAAAATGCTACACAGAGCCAGACCATCTGTCCCCACACAGGAAAGGGTACCCTGAGAAGCAGTGAGTCTTTCCGGAGCAGAGGTAGGTAGGTTTCTGATGGGGTTGGTCATGCCCTCTGGTGTTTAGGGCAAAGGGGAAGAAAAGGTGCAGTGTTACAGTTTTCTGCATGGGGCCTCCGAATGCTTGTATTTATCACGGTCCTGTCAGAGTTTCCGGAAAGCACTAGCAGGATGTGTCCTCTGAGCTCGTCACTTCGGTAAGGCTGGTTCGCCTGCCCGTGAGCGAGGCTTCCACAGCGGGAGTCTTAGCGCTGCTGTGGGCCTGGCTGTGTTTCCCTTTAGGTTAACTAGTTGGTGGCACAAACAAGCAGGGAGGGAGGGAAGGTCAACGGCCATTTGGATATTTGAGACCAAGCAGCCGTTCACAGCTCATTGGTGCTGGCTTCGCGGGTGGGCATGGTGATATTGTGTCTTCATTCCGGCCACAATGATCGGCAGCTTTCTCATAAGCCAACATAATACAGCAGGTCTTTTTACCTTAAAGATTTGGACATCTTGCTTGAATTGATTTAACTCTCCGTTACATGTTTCCCCCACCTCCTGGCTTTAGTACAAAGCGTGACCTCTCTGAAGTATGTTCAGTTTTCCCACATCGTTTAAGTGGCTCCTCACATCACTGAGAGTTGTCACCTTTAAGAGGTCTTAGGGGAGCCGTACAGGGGTCATGAAGACCTGAGGGGACAAAGTAGCCAGGGATGAGGACGCCACAAACAAGGCGTCTCCTGTTCCCAGGCTCCTTTGCTTCGGGGGTTCCCCCCTCTGCTTTTTAGTTCTGCCTCCCTGGCAGGGATGGAAGAGCTGAAAGCAGAAGGAGAAAGATGAGGCATCTGTGAGTGATGCAGAAATGTTTCAGACTAACAAGTCCAGCGATAAGCACATCCGTCTCAAACCTGAAGTAACATCTCCCGTCCTGGGTTTGCCCCAAGGGGACAGGTCACCTTGCCCCTCCTCTGGCAGGAGGACAGGTGGGGAGGATAGGACCAGAGGTCATGCAGGTACTTAAGGCTGGACAGCACTTGGGATGTGGTCACTTCCTCGGATGCAGGGGAGCCCTGGGGCACTGCTGCCTCACTTTCAACCCTGCCCTCGTGGCCGGGGCAGCCAGAGCATGTCACTGCCTGGCTGGCCAAGGCCACATGACCCTGGAGAGGTTTCAAGAGCCATGGAAACCTGGCTTCTCACTATACCTGGGCCTCACGTTCCATGTCAAAAAAGGAAAACTCAGGCTCCGTCTCTGGGTCCCATGAGATAGGATGAGGACAATTCTGCCGACTCATACTTTAAGAACTTCAGGTAAGAAGTGGGTGGGCAGAGATCTGCTCCAAGTCACACAGGTCAGTGAGCACAGCTAAGAGCAGGACTCAAGACCGCCAGATCTGATTGGTGAGTGCACTGCTTACCCACGGGCCTCTCTGCCTTGGGGGTGTAATTCTCGCTGTCTCCACCCGCAGCCATCCAGCCTCCCTGGCTGCACGTGCAAATGGGGACAACTTTGCGGGTCAGTGGGGGAATTTGACGCCTGTCCCTGGCCTGCACCAAGAGTGTGGCTGTGAAGCCAGTCTCTCATGAAGTGCAGTATGCATTTCTGAAACTTGGCCCCAGCTGTGTTTGATTCAGTTCACCCTGCTTCCAGTCCAACCTGACATTTATTTAGAACCTGCTATGTTCAAACCACCATGTTAGCTCTTTTGGGGGCAAATACAATGATCAGCCCAAGACCCCCCCACTCTCTCAACTTGCGATCCAGCTGTGGCCACACACCAGCAACTGTCATAAAGGTCAGAGGGAAGCATTGCGCTGATGTCTGGAGGTAGAAATGAAGTACAGCTCACATGATCTCCTCTCTGGCTGGGGGGGGGGGTCACGTGACCCCCTCTCAGTCAAGTCACTCACTTTTCCATTTTCAGTTTTGATCAGAAGTCATGCCCTGTCCACTACCTGCACATCTGTGCAGGAAGCCACTCAGCCTGCCTGTGTGTCTTGCAGTCTTTCTGCAATTCTCTTCCTGAATTTTCCTGCCTCCAGTGGGAGGAGCATTGAGACCTCTGGCTCTGATCACACACAACACTTTGGAAAGTGACTGCAGCCTGAGCACTGCCTCCCTGTCCACTGTGGAGCGATGCCCTCGCTGATCCCGACCTCTGAGTGGCTGCAGGATGCTGCCCACCTGCGGGCTCTTTCCCTTCCCAGGAAGGTGCTTGGCGTCATCTCCAAAGTGAGGCTTCTGCCGGGCGTGGTGCCACACACCTGTAATCGCAGCACTCGGGAGGCAAGGCAGGAGGATCATTGCAGGTTGAAGGCCAGCCTGCGTAGTGAGACCCGTCTCAAAAAATGCCCAAAAAATACAAACAAAAATGAGGCTTCTGTGGAAATGAGCCTGGCGCGGGACTTGTGGCCTTAGCCAGTGTTGCTGAAACCAGCCCTCCCTTCAGAGTCTTACCTGGAGTCCAGGGCTCTGTCCAGACCTTTTCTGTCACATGGAGAGCTAGAAATCTTACCTGCCAGTTTGCTTTGCTTAAGTGAAATAGAGATCCTTCCTTGACAAGCACCAAGCTCTAGAGCTCATATAGGAAGGAGCAGGAGACATTGTATGTACATTTTGTTTCTTTGTGATTTAGTAAGGGACCTCTTAAATTTCCACATCCCATCCCCACAGTGAATTGTGCACATCCTGGCACCTTAGCGAAGTAAAGCTTCATAGATTTCTAAGTCTTGACTATTTTTACTCAGAGCTGACTAGGAAACAGGTGTGAAGAGGCTGGGTGATCACCAGAACTTGACTGGTAAAATGGAACCGAAACTAGTGAACTAAGGGCCAAGGGAGACAGCCTCACTAACTGAAGAACGTCCTCTCCTTCCAGTGGGGTTCTCGGGTTCCTGCTCATGCTCAGCACAGTGAAGCTGCAGAGTGTGGTGGCCCCTGGGCAGTGTGCAGCCTGGATCTTCCTGTCTCAGGTAAGAGGGGCGGGCAGGCAAGAGCTCTGTCTTGGGCCATGTGGTGCTGTCTTCAGACCTGGGGATGCCGGGTTGGATCTGCAGGAAGCCGTTCCTAGTGTGGGTGATCCTTCGCCTAACTCAGCGAGCAGTTTCTGAGAGCTTCTTCCCGTTTAATCACCGTGCACATTTCATTGTTGTCACACTGTCGGAGGGTGACCATGGCCAGGGCCCTTAACTTCCCTGAGCCTTAATTTGTCTGAAAATGAGAAGCTTTGCTGAAAGATCCCTTCAGCGTTCTCCAGCCCTATGGACTGGACTCCCAGGTGCCCAGGGCCATTCTTTTTCCTCCCCAGGCAGTGAGGGTGTCCAGAGCTCAAGTGACTTAGACAGTAGAACTGAGGCTGGCTGGGGTGATAGAGGAAGGAACAATTGCAGAAATGTCCAGGTTGGGAGGCTTGGCTCAAGCCTTCAGGAGAGAGACTTGTGCAAGAGTGGCCACTGTGTGTGTGAGTGACTGTGGCTGACCGTAACAAAGGAAGAGGTGGAGGAACTGCAAAGGGACAGGAGCAGACCATCAGCGATGGTAGGCACTGTTGGAACGGAAGTGCTTGGGACCCACCTCTTTCTACTGGCGGGTTTATTTCCCTCACGTCCATCTTCCGGGTCACCTTGAAGGAGTCAGGGTCCAGAGTCTGAGGCAGTGCTTCTGAGGAGTGAGATTTCCCAGTCAATTTAATCTAATGAAATGGTCTTTGAAATTTGTGCCTTCACTCATTTTGGGGGGTGGGGGTTGGTTTTTTTCTGCAGGGGAGAAAAACTACACATTTTTCTTTGGAAATAAGATTCAACAGTGATATTTCCACCTACTTAGTCTGCTTTTAATAGCATTAATGATTCTCGTTCCAGAAGAATGTAAAAATGCTTGAGACGTTGATTTCTAGAATGGGAGAGTGAGGTTGACAAAGCCTCTTCTCCACAACCAACTAGAAAGCGGGAAAAAGAATGTCTATGGCGGCGTCCATTTCCACACTCTGAAAATTGACTGCAGCCATAAAAGAGCCTCAAAAGCAATTGTTCATGGAAACTACTGACTTTGGGTAGGAGCAGAAAGGGTTTGTGGTGTGCTTGCCCTCGCGGCCCCATGCCCTCCTCCCCTCTCGCTCTTTAGCTTGATGGTCCAGCAAGAGCAAGGTGGGCTGTGGAACCCACAGCTTTGCCGCTGCTTCCAGAAGGGGCCCCTGCATTTGGAGCAGCCACCTCAGTGGTCAGTGGACAGCAGAGGCCAGTTGTTCCATAGGCTTGAGTTTAGAGTCCTCTTTAGTCAAGCAATGGGCCAGTGGTCTTGCTGGCGACAGAATAAGTAGTTCTGAGAGGTGAGAGAGCCATCTGGGGACTTCCTAGGTCTCCACATTTCCCAGGTTGAACTTGGTCTGTGTGCATGTGCTGTGGGGATGGAGCAAGCCCAGGACACCTACGCATCTCTGGTCGGTGGCTTCCACCTGCACACTCACAGGAGATACGAGAGAGCCACAGAGAGCCACCGCCAGGGCAGACGCGAAAACAGCCTGAGGTTTGAATGTGCTCCTCAGCCCACGCTCAGAATCAAACGCAAAGATGGAAGCCTTTCTGGCTCAAGGTGTCTGAGCAAAACCCCGGACTAGTCTTTGCCAGTACACGAAGCCATTGAGACACAGAGATGACCCCTAGAATTCAGACGTAGAAATGAAAACAAGGGGAAAAACTAGTACAGGTATCAGCAACTGTACCTTATTTGGAAAACAGATTTCACAGATTTAGTCTTAGGGGAAATTACTAAGTAAACAAAACAACAATAACAGCTCTTGTGAAAAGCATCAGAATCCAGTTGCTGCCATATATTGTCTTAAATGCCCATGTTCAACCCCAAATTGGAGACATTTGGAGAAGCAGAGTGTGGTGTGCAAGCAGGAAAAGAACAGTCCATAGAAACCAGCTCCAAATGTCTGTCCACAGATACAAAATTTAGGCAAAAAGCACTGCAAAATACTTAAATATGTTCAGAGATTGGAAGGCAGCCACATTTAAAGGATTAAAGGCTCAATAAATATAGAATTCAATCAAAAGATAGAAATTATGTTTAAAGGTAAGAACCAAATATAAAGCAAATGGAAATTCTAGAGTCTTAAAAATATAATAACTGAAATGAAAATTCTCTAGGGATACTTGACAACAGATTTGAGATGGCAGAAGGAAGAGTAAATGAACCAGAATTAAAGCAAAATAAATTCTTTAATCTAAGAAAGATTTTTTAAAAATTGAAAAAATGTGAACAAAGCGTCAAAGACCTGCAGGCGGTGAAGGATAGCAATATATGTGGAATGACAATCCCAGAAGAAGAGGAGACAGCGTGTTGTAGTCAGGGTTCACAAGGGAAAAGACACATAATTTATAGGATTATTTTATAATATTCACCCAAAGAGTCAAATGCAAAAGAATGCAGGAGATCTAGTCCGCACAGTGGAGACCCAGAGAATCCAGCCGAGGGCCTGGATCCCATAGCAGTGTCCTACATGAGTCCAGCTAGAGGCCTAGAGTCCATGGCAATGTCTCATGCAAGTCTGTATCAAGGGTCTACACTGGGAAGGCCCAAAGGTCAGTGGTGGAAGCTAGAAAGTGAGATGAAGGATCTGTGCCCACAGGCTGAGGGATCTGCACTAGAGCCAGAACACGATGCTCTAGGTAAGGACCAGAGCTACCCCAAAAAGAACGATAGCCATCTGCAGTGACAGCGAGGACCCGAGCTCCTCTGACAATGTGAACAGCTGAGTTTGTATGAGAAAAACCTGCGTGTTAAGCTTCTCCAGGAGAATCAATGGCACACCATCTTCCCCTGCAGTTCTGCTCTTACGCTGTTGGCAACAATTCTCAGGGCGGCCTTCCACACCCAGAACCACACTGATTCAGTTTAGTTGGGTGTTCCAAGTTGACCATTGGTTAATCCACCACACAGGGATAGAAAAACTGAAGAAATAATGGTAGAAACTCCCATGTTTGCTTAAAAAAATTAACTTACAGCTCTGGTAAGCCCAAGGAGCCTCAATAACAGAAAAAGAATCTTACCTAGATAATTTCTAGTAAAAATTCTAAGAAAACAAAGAGAAAATCTTAAAAGCACCAAAAAAAAAAAAAAAAAAAAAAAGATTTTGCGTATGTGAAGGAAAAACAATATAATTAATGGCAACTTCCCATCAAAGACATTGTGTCAACCAGGAGGCAGTATGATGATAGATGCTGAAAGATAAACCTATCTCCCAAGAATTTGATACTCAAGCCAGGCATGGTGGCACATGCTTGTAATCCCAGCACTCAAGAGGCTGAGGTAGGGGGATTGCTGTGAGTTCAAGGCCAGCCTGCACGACATGGTGAGCCCCTACCTCAAAAACAAAAATTATATACTGCAAAACTGGCTTCAAATGTGAAAGATAAATATATTTCCAGATCTACAGGATCGAGATGCGTTGCTAGTAACCATGTCAATAATTACATTCAATGTGAATGGATGAAATAACCTATTCAAAAGACAGAGATTATCAGATTGGATTTTAAAAAGCAAGACTTGACTATATACTGTCGGCAAGAGACAAACCTTAGATGCCAAGATATAGACTGAAAGTGAGAATGTAGAAAAACTGTAACCCTTAGGTATTACTGGGGGATGAGCATATAGCCACTTTGGAAAACAGTTTGGTACTTTCTTGAAAGGTTAAACACAACCCAGCAAGTCTATTCTTATGAATCTACTCAAGAAATGAAAATGTAAGTGCCTTATGCATGGATATTTATAGCAGCATTACTCATAACACCCCAAAACTGGGAATAATTTAAATGTGAATTTATTAGCAAGTGCTTAGGCAAGATATATATGTCCATACACTGGGATAAGGAGCTATTCATACATTGCTATGACAGGTAAGTCCCTGAGAGAAGCCAGTCACATTACACATGGTATTCCATTTTATGTGAGATGTCCAGAAAAGACAGATCGATAGAGACAGAGTGTACCCTGATGATTTCCTGGGGCAGAAATTGACTACTGACAGGCTGGAGGGAGTTGTTCTGGGTAATGGAAATATTCTAAAACTGGACTGTAGTGGTGACAGTCGCCTAGTCATTTAAATTCATTAAACTTGGTCATTAAAATAATTGCACTTTAGGGACACGGGATGTAGCACAAAGGTAGCATGCTTGCTTACTATGCACAAGGCTCTGGGTTCAGTCCCTAGTGCCTCAAGAAAAAAAAAGAGCCACAGCTTTTACATTTACAATAGGCGACTTTTATTGCGTGGAAAGTGGCATATGGTACCCGTGGAAGCTGTAAAATATGAGTACTCTAAACATCGAGGTCACATCTTATTGTTTACGATTTGGTAGCATTTTCTAGTGTTCACCGCCAGAACCATGAGTGTCCTTTTTATTTTTCCCCTAAATTCTAAGGGAGATTTATAAGACAGAGGATTTTCAATTGCCTGGCATGGTTTAATGCTAATCTTTCTTAAATGTGCAGGGTTGGGTTAGATGAGCTATTGAGATCTCTTTCCTCCATTACTATCTCTTCCAGAGATCAAGCAATGTCTCTTCTTTTTGTTTTCTGTGGGAAGTAAGCTCTGTGATCCTAGGTGGTGGAATATGTATCCACCTACGCATGCAAATGTGCCGGCATTTGAAATACAACACGATTGCACTCGGTCAGTCAGCATTTCCCGTGATGTCACTGTGACTCTAGTGGTGCCAGCATGGGCAGAAAGTGACTCAGAGGGTGTTCCTTTAGAGTCTGTGAAATATTCAAAGATACAGGGCAGGGAGGACTTTTGCAGGGCTGAGGGTGCCTCCTTCCTCGCTCCCCAAAGACCCATTCTCAGCCATTTTGCAAGTTGTCACA